GGAGGTGGAGGGACTCAGCAGGGGCCGGGGGCAGGTCATCGGAGGGAGGCTCCCGGGCCCTGTTAGGCTGTCGGCCTTGGGGGGTCGAGTGGGAGCTGCGTCCATGGCGGCACTGGAGCGGAGGCGTGAGCTGGCCCGGCCGTCGGAGCAGGAGCCCGGGGAGGGGCCGCGATGGCGGGACTCCGGCGGCAGCGGTGGGGCGAGGTGGGCACGTGGCCGGACGTGGGCTGTTTTCTGAGGGTGGGACAGGAGGGCGCTGCCGCAGGGCTGATGGCGGGTGCGTCCTCCCCGCGGTGCTGGCGCCGGGGCGGGCGGGGGCGTGGCCGGGGGCCGGGGTGGGGGGCGACGACCGGCGGCATCTATAACGTTCCGCGCGCACGCGGGTTCGGCCGAGGCTGCGGGGCCTCCGTGGGGGCCGGTCTCGGGGCCTGGGCCAGGGGAGCTGGTGGGCCGGGCCCTGTGAGGGGCTGTGTCTGTCATGGGCCCTGAGATCAAGGGTGGCACCAGCCATTTCAGAAAACAAAACACAACTGGGAACATCCGACGATCTCAGCAGGAAGGGTAAGTTGTATTTTGCGAAAGTTGTTTAAAATCGCATTTATATAAAACAGAGCTGGGTGGACAACTTAAAACGTGTGGAAGCTGCTGCTGTTCAGGGAGTGGGTGCAGATGGGACCCCAGTGCCCCGGGGCTGTTTCCCCCCGCGGTGGGGGGTACCTGCGGAGGACACAGATGGCTGGGAGGGTTGAGGCAATTTAGGGTTAGGGTTGACCGTTGCACTGGGCAGTGCGGGAGCGGCATGGGTCTTCGAGGAGGTATCGTGGGGGCGGGGGAGGGGCCGCCTCACTGCTGGGAGCCCAGAAGACAGTGGGAGAAGAGGAAGCCCTGCCCCGTGCACAGACGGTTCTCTCCGGGCGCGGAGTGAGGCAGCCGGAGGGATGGGGGTGCTTGCTGTGTGGGGAGAGGCGGTGTGGTTGTGGGGGACAGTGGGCTGGGGCCACGTGTCCAGGTGCGCTGGCTTAGGAAGCCGTGTCCGCTGCCACAGGAGGGAGTGTGGGCAGGGCAGGGGTGTTCCTGGAGTGCAGCAACGTGGGGCGGGGGGGATGCGTAGGAGGGGAAATGGCTTTTTTCCGGCGCCTCCCAACAGGTGAATTTTGGAGCCCTGACTAAAAAACTATGGGCAGAAGGATTTCCGTCCTTTGTGTGTCGTAGAAGTTGAGTCCTTGGAACTTAGGTTTCAAGCCACTCAGAGACTGTGAAGACCACGTGGCAGGGCCACAAGTCCCCTGTCTTTGGCGCGCTGGCATGTTGTGCATGGCGTGCGTGAGCTGGCTGGTTAGACCAGGTGACCCTCCTGGCCCTGGCAGCTGTTGCCGGCCGCAGGCTCTGGTCCAGGGCCCCCTCTCGCAGGTGTGGGTGATCCGGGCCAGCCTTCCAGACCTTTAGCTGCAGGGGCTGCCCCGGGGAGAGGGAGGCAGCTGGGGTGCTGCCTTATAGCCACTGGGGGACCTTGCGCTGCTCCCAGCAGCCGAGCAGTCTCTTCATGGGGCGTCGCCATCTCCTTGGGCTGCGGCTGCTCCGAGCCCCCAGCTGCTGCGGCCCTGAGGTCGCCCTGCACCCCAGGCTGCACGGGTGTCCCGGCCACAGAGCTGCACGCAGCACCTCCCGTGCGCCTGGAGCTGGGCGCCCAGCGCAGAGTGCAGGAGGCTGACGGCACTTTGGGGGAGCAGTGCCGGCTGTGCTTCCCCAGAGCCTCCGCAGGCCTTGCTCTCATCAGGGAGCTCCACGCAGGAGGGCTTCGCTCTTGGCTCCCTGAGGGGCTGCTGGCCGCTGCAGCTCCCGGCTGGGCGATGCCGGGCGAGCCCCGTGCCGGCCGCCCCAGCCTGTCCGCAGCCACTGGGGAGAACGGCGGTGGAACAGGGCCGGCCGCCCCGCCCCGACTCACAGTTACGAGAGGCCCCGTTGCCAAGGAGCAGATGCAGGGACGCATCGTGAGATGGAAGGGGTCCTGGAGCGTGCGTCCGTGCTGCATACACTGGACACTGCGCGTCCATGGGGTGCTGGGCGGCTGTCTTCCCTGCAGGCTCGGGCGGAGGGGCTCGGGGGCGTTCCGATGAGCTGCGTTCTCCGCTGGCAGCGCAGCGGGTGCGGCGCTTCGGCCTCCCTGCGCCGCAGGCTGCCCGTAGGCGGTGCCGCGTGGGCCGTGCCGAGGACCGAGGGGGTGATGTGCGGGCCTGACGGCTCGTGACCGCAGGTCGCGGTTGGTTTCGCTGTTACTGATGGAAGTGCTTCCGTCTTGCTTGTCCCAGCATCTCGGTTTGGCCGGAACCTACTGACGTGCATCGTACTCCCGAGCCCCTCCCACACAGATGCGGTGGGAGGCAGGGCGGTGATGGACAAAGGGAGTGTTGGGGTATTTTTCTTTCTTTCAAAAACAGCTGTCTGCGTGCGCTCTTTCTGTTACACGAGCGGCCATTCATGTCGCCTGAGGGCACCTTTTGTTGCTGGGACAGCGGCCTCCCGGGCGGTCGTCACAGTGCGGCCATTGGCCGGGCCTGCCGTGTGCCTGGCGCTGCCGGCCAGTTCGCGTCCATGACCTCAGCCCTGTGACGCGCCCCGCAGACGACCCCGGGCGTCGTCTCCCGCCGCCACCTCCGCGGGGCGTTGGGTTCTGTCCAACGGTGGCGGCCCGTTTCGGGGGGTGACCACAGGGCAGAGGTCGCTTTGTTCTGACGCACTCCGTTTCTCCATTGTGTGGTGGCTTTTCCCGAAGACGGGGGCCGTTAGCCAGGAGAGTAAACCGACATGTTAGGAAGATGTCCCCTAGGGCTCTGCAGGGGCCTTCGGGATCGGAGAGCGGGAAGAGCGCTCAGGGCCTGCGGCCCAGCCCCCCGTCCGACCCCCGGGGGGCCCTCCCGTAGCCCCGGGCAGTGAGCATCCACAGGGGGCGGCGGCTCACCCCTTAGGACCCTGTCCTCCCTGCCCGGGCCGCCTGTGGCCCTGCGAGTGCCACCGCTCGCGTGGCAGGTGGGGGCGCTCCTCTCCCCCGCTCTCCTCGCCCCCCAGCCCCGGGGCCAGGGCCTGCCCGCAGGGGCCACGGGTGGGGTGGGTGTCCTGCTGTGTGTCCGCATGCGCTGACCTGGGGGGACGTCAGGGCAGAGCCGAGGGCGGGCCCTCAGAACCAAGAGAGGCGAGCGCACGGGAGGAAGGCTGCTGTCCTGGCTGCTCTGAGCTCGTTTCCGGGTGCCCGGGAAGGCTGGTGCGAGGGGCCGACGGGGGGGGGCCGACGGGGGGTCTCCTTCCCGATTGTCTGAGCAGGTCAGCTCGCTGCCCCCGGCACGGGGACCGCAGGTCCTTTCCGCAGCCTGGACAGCCCTTGTTTCTGAGGCAAAACACACAGGAAACTCGATCTTCTGAAGGCATTTCCCGTCTGGGTCGCAAACAGGCTCCCTCTGCCCACCTCGGAGATGTGCACAGACGGGCGTGGCTGGGGGGACGGGTTTCCAGGGCTCAGAGGCCGCCGGCCTCCTGGTCTGTGGACGGAGCAGGGCCGGGGGACCTGGACCGAATTCAACTCTCCTTTCGTGCTCTTGAGGTTTACCTCTTAATTTGTTGTTTTGCTTCTCTTTAAAGATAATTCTCCCCTGCCCGACCCGCCTGCCCTAAGAGCGGGGGGCCGAGTGTTCTCACAGCCAGCCCCGAGTCTGGCAGCTGCCTGTTTACTCTCGTTGCCAATAGAAACATGAGCTCGCCTCACAGGTGGCGCTCCAGCACATCCCTCCGTGGCCTCGGAGGCAGAGGCGGCGTCCGCCAGGCGGGGGCTCTCATTCACCTCGTCTTCCTCTTCCTCTGCCCTCCCCGCCCCCCTCCCTTCCGAGCACACCTGGGCATTTCCATCCCTGGGGTGCCTGCCACCTTCCGGCCTCCAGGTTCCTGGGCTGCTGCTGCTCACGATTGTCCCAGGACTCGGGAGGAGGCAGCACTCAGGGCTGGTCCAGGAGGGGCGGGGTCTGGGTCTGACCTTTAGGGCAGAGGGAAGGGACAGGACGCGGGACCAGCCCTGCTGCTGCCCCTGCGCCAGATGAGACAGGAGCTTGAAGACGATCCAGTCTCCCGCCGCCGCCTCATTTGGTTTGCAAAGCAGGAAAGGGAGGCAGCCCCAGGGAGCTGCTCTTGTGTCCTGTCACCTGGGGTGCCTGTGCCATTGTTCCGGGAACCGGCTCACCTCCCTTTATCTGCTGTCATTCCTGACCCGCAGGTCAGGATCCCTGACTGGGCGCTCCCTGCTGGCCTGCCCCTTGGAAGCAGGCCCTGTGGCTGGAGTCCGTGGACCGGAAAGAGTTTTGCATCAGCACGGGGGTTCGGCCGCTGCCAGCCCCTTCGGTCTGCGAGGCCCAGCCACCGCCTGTATGCAAAGGACGCCCAAATCTGGGGCTGGGTCCCAGGCTTCAGCCACACCCGCCTGCCCAGGGAGCCCTCCCCAAGGGCAGTGCCGACATGACATCCCAAAGGGACCTCCCTACCTGCCCTCACCGATGAGTCTTTCTGGTTGCATCCTGCTGGCCTGGGGCCACCACGTCCACAGTGGCCTGGAAACCTGGGGGCCGTCCTTGACTGCGACCCTGCTGCTTTAGTTCCCCTCCCATGTCCCCACGTGTTCCCTGCCGGAAAGACTCCATCTTTGGCGGGGACCCCTCTCCCTGTGGCTTGGTGTTCCCAGACCCCGTGCCTCTTGCACTGGTGCTGTAGTGGCAGGCGCTGAACGCTCTGTTTCTGAGTCCATGTTGCCCACAGAACCGTGGGCGCTTGGAAGCCATTGTGGTTCTGCCAGGGCCCTCCCGGCGCCTCCGTGGGGGCCGTGCCGTGGGCATAGGCCCAGCCCTGCTGAATGGAGGGCTCGGACACGGAGGAATTCCATGAGGAAGAGCTGGTCTCCTGGGACGTGTTTGTAGACACGGATTCGGATTTGCCGACCGCTGCTTTTCCTTTGTTTTTGTCAGGTTACCCTGACGGCGTCAGGTGGACGGGCGCCATCCCCCGCCCCCTCCCCCTCCCCAGGGGCTGAGCGTGGGGAGCATGGAGGAGAGCAAGGACGAGGCGGCGAACCGGGCGCATGTCCTCTTTGACCGGTTCGTGCAGGCCGCCACCTGCAAGGGGACCCTGAAGGCCTTCCAGGAGCTCTGCGAGCACCTGGAGGTGAAGCCCCAGGACCACCGCTCCTTCTACCACAGGCTCAAGTCCAAGCTCAGCTACTGGAAAGCCAAAGCCCTGTGGGCGAAGCTGGACAAGCGGGGCAGCCACAAGGACTACAGGAAGGGGAGGGCCTGCAGCAACACCAAGGTAGGCGGCCCGGCCCGGCCCGAGGGGCGGCCCGGGCCCAGACGCTGGTTCCCTGTCGGGGGCCAGACGTTAGTCTTTCTTCCTTTCATGGCCCACGTGTAGAGCATTCAGGGCTTTAACTCTGCAAGAACAACCGAAGTGGTGTAGCGACTTGGCTTATTTTCGCTGAGCCTCTGCTCTGACCCTCACCGGGTGGCTCGGAGGGTGCGGGTCGGTCAGGACGCGGCCCGGCCCTGCCGGCAGCCAGCACCAGCACGATTCCGGGGCACGTCGGCCCCCCCAAGCACAGTGCTGCGCCCAGGAACTGGCGAGGGGCAACGCGGTGTCTGCCCGCTGGGGAGCCACCCTGGACCTCAGGCCGCTCTTCATTCCTATTCTTAGGCGGGGGGGCCTTGTGAACCGAGTTGTTTCTTTTGGTCTGTTCACAATATATAGAAACAGTGTTTCCCTGAAGAAGGTGCCCGGGCAGAGCTGAGGCCGCAGCCCCCTGAGGGAGGCTGCAGGAGCAGGTGGCGAAGGAGCAGTGGCTTCCTGCCCCGCTTCCCTTTTTGGGGAGGAGCCCACAGGGAAACGAAGTGGCAAATGACTTCACCTTATTAGTGCTCTTTCCGGGCAGAGCCTTAATTTGCCCCTGTGGGGACCTGGGAACTGCCGCCCCGCCCCCACCCAGGTTTTTCGGTTTGGTGATCAGTTAGACATTCGTCAGCAAAATTCGAGTTCAGAGGCATGAGTGGTATGAGGGAGTTGTGGAGTTTAATGAAGGGTAAAAGGCGTCAAAGCCAACTACGTTGCATGTCTTTTTTTCTTCTGCACATGCAATGCGAACTACCTGTCTAGCCTCACTCTGCGCACTTTTCTAAAATTCGGATTTCCAAGATCGTTCTCTTGGACTTGAGTCTAAAGATACGACTTTAGAACGCCTGTCGGCACGTAAAACCTTGGCTCTTGGCAGCTGCCTCCTAGGAATCCCTCCCGTGGAAGACCCTCTCCAGGACTGTCCCGCGTTCAGTCACCTGTCTCCTTGGACCAAAATCTGCTGGACCGAGAGGCCCTCCCGCTGACGGGGGCCGAGATGCGGTTTTCCAGGCATTTGTTGAAACAGTGACCCCCTTGAACAGGGGCTGGGCTGCAGGGTCTGTGTCCGGCCCTGACAGCTGAGCTCTCCTCTCGGCAGCCACCAGCGTGTCCCAGGCCGTTGCGGGGGCCCGAGGGCACAGCGGGGCTGGGGGGAGTGGGGGTCGTGAGGCTGCGGAACACGCGCTCCGCGGGTGCCGCCCTCGCCTGAAGCAGCCGTTTTTTCCAGTGTCTCATCATCGGGGCCGGTCCCTGCGGCCTCCGCACGGCCATCGACCTGTCCTTGCTGGGAGCCAAGGTGGTCGTGATCGAGAAACGCGACGCCTTCTCCCGCAACAACGTCCTGCATCTCTGGCCCTTCACCATCCATGACCTGCGAGGTCTGGGCGCCAAGAAGTTCTACGGCAAGTTCTGCGCTGGGTCCATCGACCACATCAGTGAGTGAGACCGGTTCCCCTGCGGGTGTCCCCCAGCCCCCCGGCGTGTCCTGCAAGGGACACGGGCAGGTTCCCAGCTGCCTCTGTGTCACCGCCGTCTGTAGTGCAGAAGCACATCTGCTGGGAGGCAGGACCAGGGCTCTGGGGTCGCCGAGTTGGGCTGCGGACTCGTCCTCTGCACGCGCCGTGGCGGGATGGACCCTGGGGCCGGGCCAGGTGACCGGCGTGGGCCTTGACCGGGTTTCGGCCAGCGTTTTGGGATGTGATGTGGAAGAGGCTGCACCGACGTGAGAACGCAGGGCCGTGAGCACACAGCCCTGGGAACGCAGCTGCGGGCCCGCGGGCCAGTTGGTGGCGCGATTCCTTGGTTCTCGCGGGGCCTGCGGTCCCCGGGGCTCTCCTTGCGCTGTTGTCCTCCACGCCCGCGTGGCTTGTATTTCCAGGGTGCTCTGAAGTAAATACAAGTTAGTGCAGACGTGGTTTTGTTTCTGAGGCTGTGTGTGTGCCGGAAACCCGGGTCTGCCTTACGAGGCTGAGGTCTCGTGGGCTGACCGTCACCGATGGTTCTGGGGCAGCCCTGTCAGGGGCCTCCCTGAGCTCCTCCGGATGTGTCCCAAACCCTTCGCCGTGGGAGGCTGAGCCAGTGTGCCAGTCACGGCTGCAGCCGTGCGTTCCCTCAGAGGAAGCCCTCAACCCCCAGTTGTCCGCAGGTGTAAAATGTGTGCTGGCGCAGGCTTTACCGAGCCTGCGTGTGTGGCTCGGAAGGGCAGGTTGTGTGGACCAGGGAGGTCACCAGAGGACCCAGAGGAGAGTTTGCATGGACTCTGAGGCGTGTGCCCCGGGCTGCAGGTGACAGGGGCCCCAGGGGAGAACCCGGGCCGCTCCCTCGGCGGGTCTGCCGGCTGACACGCAGCGAGCGGTCTTGGGCTTGGAGCTGCGTCCTGCGTCACAGGCTCGATTTCTGTCTGTGTCTCTGGGGTGGCTGCTTGTCTGGCACCTGGCAGGTCCTCGCTAGATGTTAAATAAATCTCCCTGGGATATGAACACGGTTTTCATTCATTTTGGGCCTTAGTTTCTGCAGCTGTAGCCCAGTTAGCGGGGAGACGGTGAGCAGCCGAGCTCGCACTGGACCTTCCCCTCCCCCCTTGCGGCGCCTGTGGAGACCAGAGGGGACGAGAGGGGGGAGGGGCGGGCGCCCGGGAAGTGGGGAAGCCCCTCGGAGTCAGGCTGGAAAGCGCAGCCCTGGTCGCGGCCAAGGGCGGCAGGTTCTGCGGCACGATTGTGGCTGCGACCGAACCGGGGAAGGTGGAAGGCGAGTCTCCTGTCGGCCACAGTTTCGGGTTGAATACCTCACCCAAGAGGCAGGAGCGGGCCTGTGTGTCTTTCCAGCACATTTCTGACCCTTAATAAAGGAAGAGGCTGTGGCACAGGGCGTGGAAGAGGCTCCTGTCCCCGCACCGTGGAGGACCTGCATCAGCCCCACGCTGGGGGCCGGTGCGGCCTGAGAGCAGGGCTGCAGGCGGACACCCCCCTTCGGTGGCCCTGACGGGCGTTCTCTTGTCGCCCAGGTATCCGCCAGCTGCAGCTCATCCTTCTGAAAGTCGCGTTGATCCTGGGCATTGAAATCCATGTCAACGTGGAGTTCCGAGGACTCGTGCAGCCCCCGGCGGACCAGGAGAGCGAGCGTGAGTGGGGCAGGGGCGGCGGTGCTGAGGGGCGTCGGACGGCGGGGGCCTGGCGGGCGAGGTCAGAGGGCAGGATCGACCTCTGCATTGTTTTCACAACTGGCTACGAGGGGCTTCTCTGCTTGCGTAGCTGGTATCTTTGAAGAGCTTCTGGGAGGCCTCGAAGGTGCTCATCACAGAAAACGGGGGCGGGAGCACCCCCGCGAGGCCCCTGCCTCTGGGCCCACGGGGCTGCAGGGGGCGCTGCCTTCGGGGCGTCGTGAGGTATCTGTGACGTGGGGATGGGGGCTGGGTGCTGACCTCACTCTGGCTTTGGCCCGCAGGGATCGGCTGGCGGGCACTGGTGCACCCGAAAACCCACCCCGTGTCAGAATACGAGTTTGAAGTGATCATCGGAGGGGACGGCCGCAGGAACACCCTGGAAGGTGCCGGTCGGCGCTGCTGGCCTGGGCGGTCGCAGAGGGAGGGCGGCCTTCTCCGCACCCTGGGCCGAGAGCTGTGTGGCCAGCGCTCACGCTGCCCAGAGCCGCCCGCGGGCCACTCGCCCCGGCCGGGCAGGCCTGGGGCCACGGTGTCCTGCGGGGCAGCACAGCAGGGTGGCATCTCAGCCTAGTGAAAAAGCGGCTTCCCTTTTGTTTTTAAATGGCATTCTTGGCATTGAGTAATACTCCGGTCGGTCAGGTTTCAAGTTTTTTGTTGGCGTGTGGGAGACTTTGGCCTCTTCTCCGGGTGGTTACATTCCTTGGGTCACGTTCCTTATTTTCTGATGGAGAGGAGCTGCCCCAAAGTGGCCCCACTCATCCCTCTCCGCCGTGGGCCCTGCCACCGTCAGCAGGCCCCTTCTGTGGGGGAGATGCCCCCGCCTCCCGAGCCCTCCCCGCCGCCTCTGAAGGTGCCCCCCCTCCAGGGTTTCGTCGGAAGGAATTCCGCGGCAAACTGGCCATCGCCATCACCGCCAACTTCATCAACCGAAACACAACGGCGGAGGCCAAGGTGGAGGAGATCAGCGGTGTGGCTTTTATATTCAACCAGAAGTTTTTCCAGGAGCTAAGGGAAGCTACAGGTGGGTGGGGGTGCCTCAGAGTCCGGGGGCGGGGGCTTGCCCACGGCCCGCGCGCCCCTCGCTCCCACACTCTCCTGTTCTTCGCCTTGTCCCAGGGCCTGGGCCCCTTTGGACTGGATTTATGTCTTTGTTCTTAAGTGTTCACGCTGCCTTCTGCCAGCTCTCCCGATCCGTCCCTTACCGCTGCGGCCGGCAGCCATCTGGTTTATGGGGGCCCCAAGTGTGTCAACTTGCTCCTGACTCCCACTTTGGCCTTGAAGTAAGGCATGTGTTAGACAGGAATGAGGCTGTTGTCTGATCGCGTGGAACAGACTGACGTAGATGTTTCGGTGCAACAGTAACGTGCAGCGAATCCCAGCTCCCCGTTTCCTGGAACGTCACTTCTTCCCATGACATCTGATCCCTTAGATGGATCGGAGTTAGCAGTCGGTAGTTCGCTCTCTGCTTCCAGGCATCCAGGGGTCCGCCCCGTTCCAGGAGGTTCCCCAGTTGCTTCGACAACTGTAAAAGTGGCTTCACCTGACCACTAACCCAGACCCCACCCCCAAACGTGAACCTTTGCCTTTCCCCTACTGTTGACCGTTGTGTGTAGGATAACTCGGGGCGTCAGGGACCGCAGAGCAGCGCAGGACAAACGGAGCCCCTTTCTGCGGCGCGCGCGGGCAGGGAGCGGACCCTGGGCTCAGTACGCCTTGCACACGGCCTCCCTCCTGCTGAGGCTGCGCAGCCTGCCCGCCCTCACCCCACACCCCACCCCACCCCCCGTTCTGTGCTCCCAGGCATCGACTTGGAGAACATCGTCTACTACAAAGACGACACGCACTATTTTGTTATGACAGCCAAGAAGCAGAGCTTACTGGACAAAGGGGTGATACTGCGCGTAAGTGATGATCTTTTTCACAAAGAGAAAGAGTTTTATTGTCCAGTGAGTTTCCCCTGTGAGGGAGTGAAAATGAGCTCCCAGCTTGCCTCCTGGTAATGTGTCCTCTTGGGTTTTTTAGTTAAACTTTAAAAAACATCTTTTATTACGGGAATTTTGTAGCATAAACGGAAGCGAGGGGTCAGTCCGATGCCCCCATCACAGAGCTTTAGTGCTCGTCGGCACACGGTCAGCCCCGTCGGGAGGGCCCCGCACACCCCGCGTGCCTGCAGCGGGCTCTCCCGAAGCACATCTCTGACGTTTTAGGAATAAATACTTAGTTTCCTTTTAGGTGGTTTGATTTGTGGTTCTAGAGAATTGCATGTATGACCAATTACTGGCTGGTTCATAGGTATCTCGGAAGGGGCGCTAGAGCGGGAAGCGGGCTGGTGTTCTGGGGAGCCTGAACGTGGCTCTGGTCCTCCCTAGAGACGTGGCTCTCGGGGCCCTGGGACACTGGCCGGGGCGGGGTGCTTGGACCCCTGCAGTCGGGCTCCTCGCTCGTCCTTGGTCTGGTGCAGCTCGTCCTGGGGGGCACTTGGCCTGGATATGAAGTCAGAGCCCCCTGGGAGCGGGTTCTGTCTGTGTGGTTGAGCCTCAGTGTGAGTACGGCCATTCTGCACAGTGAGCGGGAAGGAGGGGGCCCGGGCTCAGGCCTGAACAGCCCCGCCTGGACTGCCTGCCCCGCGGGGCGGCCGGCCTGAGGGCAGAGGCTGTGTGAGCTCATGAGCACCAGTCTGCTGCCCAGCCTCTTCCCGTCGTCCCCTGGTGCCACCTGGGCCCACGGTCCCCGGGTCTGGGGCAGAGACTGGCTGAGTGGGCATGAGCGTGCGGCCCTGCCAAGAGCACAGGCGGGCGGGCTTGGCGCTTCGCTGCGGAGACGCGGCAGCGAGCCCGCTCCCACCAGCCGACCCTGTGGGGCAACTGTCTGGGGCACCCGGGCCCGATGTCCTGTCCTGTTATCTGTGTATTTTTTAGAGGGTGGGGGCCTCGCGCCTCCTGTGTGTGCTGCTAAACACTAGATCCCCTCAGCCACTCGCTCAGTGGTGAGCAAACACTGCTTCGTGGGCAACTTGAGGGCGTGTGTGTGGCTTTTAACATCTCGTGCTGGCAGCTGCAGGTGCCGGCAGCACACCCGGCAGCCGGAGGCCACGCCCCAGGAGCACGGAGACCAGCTCAGGGTGCAGCCCCTCCTGGCAGGAAAGGGGTTTCCCGGGCTTCTGTGCGGGAAGCCCCTTCCCTCTCGTCACCGTTTGTGTTGGTGGGGCTCTGTGGAACCTTTCAGTCATCGTCTGATTTTTCAAGCTTCTGTCTCATCTTGAACATACGCTTTCCCGCTCCCCTGGGCGGCTGTTGCTCCCACCTCCACACCTTTCTGGTAGAAGCTCTAGGTTTTTGGGTTGGGCTGAGCGTTGCATGGGGTCGCCGTTGTCCAAAGCTGTTTGCTACGCAAACTGAGGTGCTGTGTCAGTTTACCGAGCGCCGTCACATAAACCGTTTCATTTGGTGCTCAGCACAACCCTGTGAGGTGGACAGGACAGGATCCCAGAAGTAGCGACTTGCTCCAAGGAGATGGAAAACCCAGGACTGTGTTTTAGGCAGCAAAGCCTGAGTTCTAGAAATCGCCCCCCGCTTTGTAATGTGTGGGAACACGACTCACTGGGGGGGGGGGAAGCGGTGAGAAACGTGCTGTCTGTGGCGTGTGCCGTGTGCCGTGTGCCTCGAGCTGGCTCCTGCGGCCCCGGGCCTGTCTGCCGAGCCTCTTCCCTCCCGGGGGTAGGACTATGCCGACACGGAGCTGCTGCTGTCCCGGGACAACGTGGACCAGGAGGCCCTGCTGGACTACGCCCGGGAGGCCGCCGACTTCTCCACCCAGCAGCAGCTGCCCTCCCTGGACTTCGCCATCAACCACTACGGGCAGCCCGACGTGGCCATGTTCGACTTCACCTGCATGTACGCCTCCGAGAACGCCGCCCTGGTGCGGGAGCTGCACGGGCACCAGCTCCTCGTGGCCCTGGTTGGGGACAGCCTCCTCGAGGTGAGGGGGGCAGCCTGGGGCAGTGACGGACACTGTCCGGGGCCCCGGGGGGGGGGGAGCGCCGGCGGCGTCGCGGCACGTGGTGGCGCCCTTTGGGGGTGGTGCCAGGACGTCCTGCCGGATGGGCTCCGGGGCTGAGGACGGGCAGTGCCGCGGCTCTCCAGCCGGGCCCTGCGCCGGGCAGCGAAGCAGGACGTCCAGTGTCCGGGCAGTGGCCGGGCCCCACTTCCACCGCGGACTCTGTCTCAGAGCGCCGTTCGGTCCCTCTCCCGCGGAACAGTCGTTTATCTTCGTTCTCTGCTGCTCTTCTGCAACAGCCCTTCTGGCCCATGGGAACTGGCATCGCCCGCGGCTTCCTGGCTGCCATGGACTCTGCCTGGATGGTGCGCAGCTGGTCTCTGGGAGCCAGTCCCCTGGAAGTGCTGGCCGAGAGGTAACAGGAGCGGCGGGGCCGCTGTGGAGAGGCAGCCGGGAGTGAGGACGGCTCCGCGCCTCTGGCAGAGCGCGTGGTCGCCCCTCCGCTGCTCTCCCTTCTCAGTGAACGACTTTCTCACGCGTGGGAGAGGCAGTTAGAGAAACAGAAAGATTACCTGCTCTAGATGCGCGTCTCATCCCTTCCCACTCGAGACGCGCTGCGCCCGGTGACACCCGAATCTTGCTGCACTGTCCAAGGACAGTCCCTGCCCCTTTGGTGACAGTCACGTGAACAAATATGTGAGAATAGTGAGTCTTGTCCTTAAACTACAGAGACAGACGCTAATGAAAGCAGCAGGGTAACGGGGGAGACACTGGAATAAGGAGAGAAATTAAAAGTGGCTTCGAAGTCAGAGGAAAACACCAAACTGCTTGGAAATACTTTTCAAAATTGCGAACGTCAGATGTTTTGAGGCAGGTTACTGCAGGGGAGGCAGGAGTCCTGGGATTGGCCGATAGAGAACAAATGCCTTAACCTGGGAAACTAGAGAAACGAGATTTGCTGCGTGAGGCTGATGGTCGATAGCATTTGAAGGCGGTCGCTTCGGGCACCGCGGGTGACTCGGTGGCACGTTCCTCCTTCGCCTGTGCTTTAAACGTCTAGCGCTGGGACGCTTGAAACAACAAACGGGGAGCAAGCTGCATCTTCGATTGGAGTCAGACCCCGCCCCCCCCCGCCCCCCTCCTGCCAACAGCAGGGCACCTGCTGTCCACGCTGGCCCTGCCAGGCCCCTGGGGTCGCCGACCTGGTGGGACTGGGAAGCAAGGGCCGAGGTCGCGTTGGAGGAAACCGGTCAAGGGGGAGGATTTGCCCCATCCTCGTGATAATTCGGGGACTGTCAGCACACAGAAACGCCCTCATAGGAGAGGGAGAGGTCATGGGGCAGGTCACGGGGCGGACGTGAGCGGTCGCTGTGTTGCTGCAGGGAGAGCATTTATCGGTTGCTGCCCCAGACAACCCCTGAGAATGTGAGCAAGAACTTCAGCCAGTACAGCATCGACCCCGTCACCAGGTACCCCAACATCAACGTCAACTTCCTGCAGCCGAGCCAGGTGAGCGCCTTCCCGCCCATGGTCTCCCTGCAGGTCCGGTGACCGCACGCACACAGTGCTTCTCTCAGGTGGACGCGGGCAGCGTTGGGGGAAGGGGAGAACCATCCCCGTAGGCAGACTGAGCGGCTCAGGCCGAGAACAGCGGGATGGCTTGCTGGGAGGCCACACGTGACAGAGGCGGTGTGCCAGGTCCGGAGGCCACGCCTCCTAACGTGGGCGGCCTGTTGTCGGGAGAGCGCCTATCCCTCACCGGTCAGTGCACATGCCTCTGCTGGCGCAGTCACTGCCAGGCTCTCGCTCGGACGGGTCGTTTCTCACTCTCTGACCCTTGGTGCCTTCCACTGTCAAACAAGGGGACGGTCCCTGCCGCTCCCAGATGGGGTCACTGGGCGGCAATGGAGACTGTCTGTGGGGGAGAACTCAGAGATCAGCCCGCACCTCCGGCCGCTTCCCCGAGTTACTTCTCAGAACATCAGAGCCTGCAGCTGCATCCAGGACGATGCTTTACAGAGCACAGCCATCTCAAAAACCTGCCAGGTTTTGGAAAATAGCCATTCAACATACTTGCCTGGGTTCGCGTGGAATTTTATACTCACGTTCTACCTGAGGTCGCCACCCTCCGGCCTATATCTGTGGGTGGCGAGTCCAGGATCTGTGGGACCAGCTGGAAGGCGCACAGGGTCCAGCCGCCAACCGAGCGAGCGCACATGAGCACCGAGGACACACACCATTCAGGAAGCTTCACTCGTAACGTGTGCCCCCGTAGGACCGCGGATAAATCCGGCAGCATGTCCACAGTGGCACACGTGCAGCCGCGGAAAGGCTGCACTGCACTACGTTCAGTGAATGCACCTCAGAGACACTACCAGTGTGCACAACAGCCCCACACACCGGAGCCTGGGCCGCGTGGCTCCATGTACACAACGTTCAGAAGCCGGCAGGCAGGTCCTTGGGGGTGGAGGTCGTGGGCGTGCTCACCGTGGGGGCGGGGCGCCAGCGTGAGGCTGGGATGCTGTCCGGTCCTTACTGGGAGGCAGTCACATACAAAAGTGCACCAAGCTCGACTGTGTCTGTTGTCAGTGAAAAGGGCGATAAGCTTATTTTAAAAACGACGACGGCAGCAGGAGGCCAGCAGAGGCTGTCAGAGGGACAGTCGTGGCCGAGCGGCGACTTCGTAGCACAGCCTCGTGGTGCGTGTCTGTCACCGGCGTGGCCCGTGACCGGCGTGGCCCGTAACGGGTTCAGAGGCTGTCCTGCCTTGTCTCCCCCGCCCGGCCGGCTTCCCAACCTCCCGTCTGCCGCGCTCTGCTCAGCAGGGGCTGCTGCTGGGGTTTGACTTGCCCCCCTCACAGCGATTCGCCTTTCTGCCAGGTGCGCCACTTATACGACTCCGGGGAAGCAAGAGACGCCCACCTGGAGCTGGAGAGCCTGGCGAGCCCCCGAGCCACCCCCAAGCTGACACGCCACGGTGAGCCCCAGGCGGGGCCTCCCCCAGGGCGGGGGCTGTGCGGGGCAGCCTGTGGCCACGCAGGGAGCGCTCGGCCGCCACGGTGTGCACGGCGCTGGTTCTGCCCCTCGGGGCACATCTGGAGGCCTCTTCATTGTCCCGGCTGGGGTGGCGGGGACACGGCGGGCCTTTCTGTCCTGCAGTGCACACGTCAGCTCCTGGCCAGACATCGGCTGTGTCAAGGCAGGGAGGTCTTGGTCTGAGGCATCGGGAGGATCCAAGGAGAAACCAGACAGAGGGGCTGCTGAGGCGGGAGGGGAGCGTGTGGGCACACAGGTCCACTGCAGGCCGGGAAGGACTCCCGGAAGCGGCCGCGGCACGTTCGCTGGGTGCGGCCGCGTTGCCAGCGTTCAGGGACAGAGAGGCGGCTGTTGCGTGTTTTGTGTGTAGGGAAGGGCCCCTGAGCCTTAAAGAAGAGGGACGTATGGACACCGTGTGCGCAGCATGGGCCGGAGGAGGCGAGGGCCCCTCCAGGAGCCGCGCTGATGGCCATGAGGCCGCCGCCTGGCGCTGGTGCGGAGGGGGAACGAGGCAGGAGCACGCGAGGAGGGCGGGCGGCGGGGGGCCCCCAGTGGGCCCAGCCCCGGCGTGGCTGTGTGTGGAAGGCGTGGTCTCGAGCAGGCAGCCAGTGTCTCTGAACCCCAGCGCCGAGTCTGTGCCGTGGGGGACAGATGCCTGCCTGCCTCACGCACTGTTCCTGTCGGTGGCGACGTCTCAGACTGGATGTGCGAGCTGCAAAGAGGGTCCCACATTGGTGCTGCCAGGTGACCAAGCTTCTATTGGTGTCGTCTTGTTCTTTTAGAGTCTGTACCTCGTTCAAGTAAACTGCTGAATTGGTGCCAAAGGCAGACGGAGGGCTACGCCGGGGTCAACGTGACGGATCTCACCGTGTCCTGGAAGAGCGGCCTGGCCCTCTGTGCCATTCTGCATCGGTACCGTCCTGACCTCATGTGAGTGGTGGCCGGATTTCCTGTTCATTTTATACCCCCAAGGCCTCGGGGCTCCCTGCTACCAAGTCACCAAATTTGTACCTTCTTCCTAGTATGGAATAGATACTAAAACACTTTTTCTAGAAAGCAGTGATTAATTTTGATTCGATTCTATTTAAAACTCTGAAAGTCGAGTATCATATAGCTCAGCATGGAAATGATTCAGAGTTTTTAAAATCACTGCACTCAGAAGGTCAGAAACTGGTTTCAGCGCCCACGTGGGAGTGCTGACTTCACACAGAGGGAACCTCGGTGTAGTGACTCCCCCCCGTGCTGGCCAGGCGTGGGGCTGGCTGACGGCGTGTGTTCTCTCCTGTCACAGCCCCCGCTCCCGCAGACACGCGGTCAGCCCCACGGCCCTGGGCGCGCCACGGCCACCACCGGGGCAGCTCCTCTGGGGGCGCCGTGCCGAGTCGTCGCAGTGAGACGCCCAGGCCGAGCGCGGCGCGTGTTGGGCGGGGGGCCCGAGGCGTTTGCCGTGGGGGCCAGACAAGCGCGTCTAGAAACAGAAGCAGCATGTGTGGGGTTAGTCTGGCTGCCTGTTCTTTTATCATTAGGTTCACTTAGGGGCCCGATTTTTGTGTGTTTATTTTGTTTCAATGCTTAAGGAACCCTAAAGGCCGCTGTTCCTGTTGATACTGGGCTGTAAGTTCACGAGACCATTCGGGAGCAGGATTTTGGGTGGGCATGGAGAATAGCGAGAGGCCTGCGCCCCTGCGCCCCTGCACTGTGACTCAACGCAGAGGGGACGCGGGGCTCCCCCCTACGGGGGGTGAGGGGCATGGAAAAGTCTGTAATACAGGATGGCACTGGAGCGCGTATCGGGAGAGCCAGGCGAATCCGGCCCCTTCCTGGGACGAGGGGGCCCGACTGAAGGGAGCCCAGCGGGGTGGGGGGCGGGAGGATGGGGAGGAGGGACGCTCCTGTCACGGCGCCCCGCGGCCGGGCGCCCCTCACGGAAGGCAGACCCGTGAGGGGGTGGTAGCTGGCAGGGTTCAGGCTGCAGTGGCTCTGCTCGGGATGAGCCTGCCGGTTTACAGGCTTAACCTGCGGGGACAAGGAATTTCTGAAAAGGACAGTCTGTTGCGGGCCAGCGGGTGAGCGCCGAGCAAGGCCTGCCCCCTTCGCCCGGGCGCCAGAGGAGGCTCTCGGCTTCCCTTGGCTGAACAGCAACCAGCTCGGAACCCGAGCAGGAAATGCTTGCTGTTCTAAGTACTTGGGGAAATTCAAGAAACTTAGCAACAGAAAAATCTGAGGGAAGTTTTGGAATTCCCCTTTAAGGAGGAGGCCGAGCGAGGGTTATCGGAGCAGATTCAGAGTGTCAGAGGCTGGTCGGGCCCCAAGGAGATGCTCCCAGGCCTTCGGGAGCAGTCAGGTCCCAATAGGGTTTTATCTTTATGGAGCATTAGTTTAATAAATACGGAGTGCACACAGGATGCGAGAGAGTGTGTATTTAATCTCTCAAGAGAGGGAAGGGAGTCCCTATCTTGAGCCTATGTTTTAGTAAGAAACTTATGTAATTCCTCTTCCCCCCTTTTTTCCCTTCATGGATAGATTCAGTCATTTTTCTCCTCAAGGGTGATTTGCACTTCAGATTTCAGGGAGGCCCTGTCCACGGGATTCTGGCTGAGCCACCGAAAAAATGGGGGTGATTTAGTGACACTGTGTTTTTGGTGAGGAGACAAGCTCCCCATCGCGATGCGTTTTGCTTACCCTGTTTCTCAGAGACTTTGATTCTTTGGAAGAACAAAACGTGGAGAAAAACAACCAGCTGGCCTTCGACATCGCCGAGAAGGAGCTGGGCATCTGCCCCATCATGACGGGCAAGGAGATGGCCTCGGTGGGCGAGCCCGACCAGCTCTCCATGGTCCTGTACCTGACCCAGTTCTACGAGATGTTCCGCGGCACGCTGCCCTCCCGCGGTGAGGCCCGGGCTCCGGCGGGGGCCTCTGCTGACTCCCGGCCCGCCCCCGAAGCCTGCTCCCCCGTTTCCCCTCCTCACCGCCCGCTCCCCGCAGGCCCTCTCCCCGCGGCCGTGTGGGCACAACCACCCTCCTGTCCGGAGTTTTCCTGGGCCCCATCACCTTCTCGCTCCGTGTCTCTCGGAGCCCAGCCTTTTTTCAAAGAAGGGGTTCACGCTTGTGGGCTCTTCCTCCCCTGCCTAGGCTTTGTCACGCTGGCAGCCGGCTCTGTCCTGGCTGCTCTGCCGGACAGGCGTCCGCGCGGCCTCTCCGCGCTCACCTCGCCGCGTGGGTCGGCACGGAGGCCCGGCCTCCTGTCCTGGGCACTCGCCCCGCGGTGTCAGGGCCCTGCCCTGGGTGGCCCCCCGCCCTTCTTCCCGCTGCTCTTCCTCCTCTGGCTTCTCCGCCTCACCGTTTTCCAAACATCCCTCCTTAGCCTGAGGCCCGAGGCCCCAGTCTGCCCACGTGCTGCCGGCCGTTTCTGCTGTCCTCTCTGGCCTCTTGGGCCAAGCACGGCGCCGTGGTACCCAGGTTGGGTTTACGTCCCAGTCCGAACAGCGCTCCAGCCTTAGGCCGGTGACTCCATTTTCCTGTGCCTCAGTTTCCCCATCTGTAAAATGGGGGGGGTTTTGTATCTATTTAGGCTGTGATAGGCTAAGAAGAGTGTTTGTCAAATGGAAGCACTTCATAAATGTTAGTGACACATTATCAGTTTTAGTTATTTTAAAAACTGTTGTCACTAACAAGACAGGAGAATCCATAGTTGGTGACGCTCCAGGGTCTTCCGGCCCCCGCGCTCTCACAGGCGTCTCTGGCTTTTTCTGATGAGACGCACAGCTTTTGCCGCAGACGTCCACGGCTCTGACACCAGCCCCACGGTCAGGGAGCCCCTCGGTGTGCAGCAGGGGCGTGGGCTCTGCGCCCCCAGGCCCCGCGGCCCTGCACCGCCGCCCGCCCTGAGGCTTTTATCACAGAGGTGAGGCTTTGGCGCTCTGCTCGGGGGACCAGTCACGGCACCTTCCAGCTTCACACAGGCTTCTGTGTGGAAGTGGAGGAGATAGAGTGGGTGTTGTTTATGTTGATGGAAGAAAGAAGGCTGAGGTCTAGGCCTGAGCCTGAGTTCTCTGTGGAGTTTCCTGCTGACTCTTCAGAGCCTCCAGGGGTCCCAGGGGCCCCCTGTGGCCAGGGCGGCCTGGTCGGTCCTTCAGGGCCCGGCAGCTTCATCCTCAGCCGCTGCCCTCTGTCCACAGACGCCGCGGCCCTGAACGCGGAGGACAAGGCCGTGCTGGCAGCCGGCACCAAGTCGCCCATCTCCTTCCTGAGCAAGCTCGGCCAGACCATCTCCCGGAAGCGGTCTCCCAAGGTGAGCGGAAGCGGCTCGGGCCGTGGCACACCCGGGGGCGGCTGGGGGGGGCGCGTGGGGCGAGGCCAGCGCTGTTTGGTCCCCTCCCTGCTGCAGGATAAGAAGGAAAAGGACTTGGACGGCGCTGGGAAGAGGAGAAAGACCAGTCAGTCCGAAGAGGTGAGTGTCACCTGGGGTTTCTTAGAGCGATTATGCTGAACTGCCCTTTTTGTCTTAAAGCCTCCATTTTCAAATTGATGTTGCCCGATCTTTCCGTACCCCCTTCATGAGACTGCTCGTGGGCAGCTACCTTCCTGTGGGCGTCGCCTCTGTTTGATTTTTTGGCGACATGCCCGTCCTGGGCAGTGACAACACCAGCAGACTCGGGGACCCCCTTCGACCCCGCCTGGGACTAGAGCGTTGGAACACTGGGCGCCATGCAGGCCCCCCTCACGGAGGCCCTCTCCCTGTCCCTTCCGGTCAGGAGGACGTGCCCCGGGGCCGCAGAGGCGGGCGGGCGGCGCTGGGGAGCGCTCTGACTGAGAGGAGGCCCGACGGCGCCCTCGGCAACCAGAACAAAGTCAAGTACATGGCGACCCAGCTGCTGGCCAAGTTTGAGGAGAACGCGCCCCCCCAGTCCAGCGGCCTGAGGAGACAGGTGAGCCCGGTGTCTGCTTGTCCCGTCTGGCCGTGGCCGGACGAGCTCTCAGGAGCTCCTCGGGCCCGCGCTCACCCCTGCATTTGAGGGCTCGGGCGGAAATGAGCAGAGGGATTTTAAATTTAGGCCACGGCATTCATGTTCACGTTGTAAAAGACGTTCCCGCACCTGGTCCCACTCCAGGTCAGTCCCCTCCCGCCCATCCCCCCCAGCGCACGCCAGGGTCTCGCCGCCAGGCCACCCTCCATGTGCCCGCTCTGGGCAGCTTCTCTCGGGACTTGGGTTGCGGCCCCACCCTCCGCTTGTGGCGGCGCCCGCTCTGTGCGCCAAGCTCATCGGCCCCTCCTCTGGGGCTTGCGCACTGGTTCCTCGTCCTCCAGACGCGGACAGAGGCGACAGGCGTCCTGGTCAGGACGCGGCTGCGTGCCGCGGTGATGACCTGGGCGCTCCCAAGCCAGGCCGAGACGACGAACCTCGTGCGGTCCCCGTGGACGCCAGCCCACGTCTCCTGAGCCCCACCTGTGCGAGCTGGGCGGAGCCTCAAAGGGCATCTGAGCTGGGCCTCGTCTCTGCCCTCGCTTGTCTGAAAGCCACTGGGACGTCTGTAGAGGCGGGGCTGGGGTCCGCAGGTCCACCCCCGGTGACTACCTCCTGTCGCCCTCTCCTCGTCAGCAGTTGTTCTGTGGGCAGAGGGGCCAGGCCCCGTGGGCGGCTCACAGGGAAGACGGTGCCTCCCGCGGCCTGTCGGCTCCGGCAGCCTGGCCTCCCCCAACCCTCCCCCACAGCCGCCGCCGGGAAGGCTGGACTCTTCTCGAGAGCGGGCTGGCTTTTCCTTGTTTTCAGTGAAAGATGAGTTTTCCAAAGCAGAGTGAGTGGTCGAAGCTCAGAACGGTGTGCTCGGGGGGAGCAGGAGAAGCACGGCTTCTGTCCCCTTGGGCAGGGGTTGGTTTTCTTTGTAAAGTGTGACTGTCTAAGAGTAGATTCTGTGTCTCCAGCAGGGCGTGGGCGTGTGTCCGTCCTCCGCAGGCGCCTTTCTGTGTCTCCTGCCTTAACGTGTGGTGTTTGTTTTGTCTCCATGTCCTGCCCCCCACCTGGCCTGTGTGTCACAGCCGGCACAGGAGCGAGGGGCCGGCCGGCCGTCGCGCGGCCCACCTCCGCAGGGCCGCCCCGCCCCCGCCCCACGGTGGAAACAGGTAAAGGACCTGCCCCAGCGTCGGGCGGGCGCTGCCTGCGGGCCCCTGGCCCGGCCTGCGTGGGGCCTCTCGCGAACCCGGCCCAGCCCAGGACCACCAGTGCCCGTCCGAGCGACGGCCCTGGGCCGCACCGTCCCGCCACCCCCGGGGCTGAGGGGCCCGTCAGCAGGGTGGCTGTGCCGCACCCGTGGGCTGGGTGGAAGCCGCGTGGGGCCAGGCCTGGGGGTGCTGCTGTCCTTTGTCCCGAGCTGAGCGTGGCTGACGTGCGGCCACGGGCGGGGGAGGCCCGAGAGCCGGATGGGCGGCCCTCATGCCAGACAGGACCTGCCACCCCAGAAACTGCTTCAGGCTCCGAGTCTGGTTTGTTTCAGACCCTGCACAAAGAGGATTATGGGCACTTTCTTGGGCTTTGTCTACGTTTAAAGCGCTCTTTCTAGAAACTTTGACTAGCAGGAGCATAGGACCTCCTGCAGCTGCCTCCGGCGGGCGGCGGGCAGGACAGGGGCGGGGACAGAGCCCCACCGTGGCGCCTCCCCGTCGGCCTGGCTCACCTCAGGTGTGGTGCCATTTCAGACTGAGGCTCCAGATCTGGTCCGAGGGGTAGATCCTCCATCCCCCGTGCTTAGTGCTCGCTGCCACTGGGAGGCACGGGCCGTGCCTGGCGGGGTGCACAGGGAATACGTTCAAGGTAGACCCCTCTTTTCTAACCTGTCTTTTCACACAAGGCCATGCTACAGGCTGAGGTGGAGGCTTGGGAACAATGTCCAGACTGAGGGAACCAAGTGGCCCCATCCCTCTGCTTGGGGGGGCCTTCTGGGGGTGGGGGCTGCATTGGAGAGTGCCTTCCCCTCCCTCGCAGTCTCAGTGGGAGGCCTGAGTGGAAGGTGGTCTGCTGAAGGGCAGCGCAACCTCTGAGCGGGGCCTGAGCTCCAGGCCCTCACAGGACGCACAGGCAGCAGGCGGGGGGTTGGGGGGGCATGCGGGGCAGCTGCCAGCCACGCGGGCGGGTGAGCAGGTGGCCCTGTGGCACGTGCCTGGGCCCCCGTGGGTGAGCATCAGGGACATCTCGGGTGAGAGGTGCGACCCGAGGGGCTCGCTTGGTGCCTGGGGCAGCTGCCCGGAAGCGGGTCAGGAGCTTATGTTTGGGGGCGCGTGTGTCTCCTGTTGACACTTCTGGTGCCTGGGCTCAGGCCGGGACGGGGACCGTCCACAGGTCTCCATGCAGCACGTGCCCTTGACCCTGGTGTTTCGAAGGGGCTGCACCACGAGCTGGACCTGGACACCAGCCGTGGGCTGCGCCACGCCGCTCCCTGACCCCACGGTGCCGGGCGGGGGCGGAGGGTGCAGGGCAGGGCCTCTTGGTCTTTCTGGAACCCGCTGCAACTTGGCCACAGTTTCACCAGCCTTCTCTCTGTTTGCGTCTGTTCTGGAAAAGCGGCGGGGGAAGGAGCGTTCGCGGACCTGTCCCAAAAAAGTGATCACACTCTCTCCACCCCCCACTCCACCTCCCTACCGGGCACGTGGCGGCCAGCAGGTGACCTTGTGTGCATGCTCCGTTGTCTGTCTGCGCTGCCCTCCCTGCCTGCGGGGGGCGGGGCAGAGCCCACCCAGGACTCCTCTTGGTCACAAAGCGGGGGGGTGGGGGGGGCGGCGGTGACAGGGCAGCCTTTGTGGCTGCGAAGGAGCTCGTTCCTGCCGGACCTCGGGGTAGCGCTCCTCGCGCTCAGCCTGGCGGCTTCATCCCGTTCAGTGTCCTGGGAGCGCGCCTCTGCACAGACAGGCCGCAGCGTGACCTGCGTTTGTCACGGGGACGAGGCCTGGAGCCCAGGGAGCGGCCCGTGTTTGCGTGGCCCCTGTCAGGCACCGTCTGTGCCTGGCTGCCCAGGGGACGAAGCTGAGAGGGGCTTTGGGAAGCGTCGGACGGGCTGCACGACAGGCTGGCTCCCTTCCGGTTCTGAGAGCCCGGCTGCGCGTAGCCCCTCCCCGCCCCAGGCACCACCCCACTGCTGCCCTCCCGCCCTCCTGCCCAAGCAGACCCTGCGAGCCCGCGCTGCCGTGGAGCGCGCGCTCCTACGACGTTGACCTGGGTTGTAGTTCCCTATGAAGTGAAACGCCACCTGCAGAGGGCGGGCCCGTGGGAGGGGCCTGGAGCAGGGCTGCAGGCCTCAGAGCCGCGCGCGGCCCGTGCTTTCCTCTGTGTGAGAGCGGCCGCTGGGGCCCGGGGAGCCCAGGCTCCCTCCCCCTGTGGCCTCGGCTGTTCTCAGAGGAAGCTTGGGAGGCCAGTGCCGCTGTCCCCCTTTCTCAGAGGACAAGGCCGAAGCCTAGGGCAGGGAGCAGGTTGTACGGGGTCACCCGGGGGACTCGGGCGCCCCGCTCTGGCCCTCGTCCTGCCTGGACCAGAGCAGCCACCGCAGAAGCTTCGGGCCCGTGTCCCCAGAACGAGGCCTGAGGGGCCCAGACAGCCGAGCCCTGTGGTTCCCGCCTGCGCATCTCAGGGCAGCGCAGGCGGCCCTGCCCCGCCCCCGCCCCCCAGGTCCCTGCCCAACCACGTGCGCATCCTGTTCTCTGGAACCACTTCTAGGCTTTGTTCTCTTTGTCTCCCTTTTGTAAATGCTGCTTTCGCCCCAGGGTCCTGAGCAGGGACCGCTGCACCCCGCCGTCCCCTGTGGATGGCGTGAGGTCCCCCACCTTTCCTTTCTGCTCTCTAGAAAGCTCCCCCTCCTAACCCATCTCTTCCCTCCCACCTCCCGCCGGACGCCTCTGGCCTTGTGCCACCCTTGTGCTAACAAGCCCACGTGTGTCCTTCCGCTGACCTCACCGGGGGCCGGGTGAGCGGCTGGCTGTGCACAGCGTGGTCCTTGGGTCGCCGGGCCTGGTATCAGGGGTGCTGGTGCTCCCTGGGGTGGGGCTTGGTGGGGGCAGTGTGTGTGTTGCCGTGAGCTCTGACCTCCTGGCTCTGTCACTCAGGCCACACAGAGCTTTTAGACGGGCTAAACGTCTCCTTTGTTGCCAACAGACGCGCAGGGACCATGATGCCGACCGCTGCGGCAAGCAGCGTCCCCACCGTGAGCGGGTAAACGCACGCCTGTGGCCCAGATTGCTGAGGCCACACAGACGGGCACAGGGGGAGTGGGGCGGCGCCTCTCCGCTTGCTTTTTGCACGCTCTTGCCACTCAGCCGAGAGCTGGCGCCCGTTTTGCCGACCGCGGTGACAGGGGCCAGCACACACAGTGGCGCGCCCACCCCGGCTCTCCAGGAGGGTCCCAAAACCCTGTGCGGTGGCCAGGGGCCCGCGCCTCGTCGCTCCCCCGTCCCCGCATGTGCAGCTTCTCGGGGCAGGGCTGGGACCAGCCGGCAGGGGCCTTGGCCCGGCCTGCCCGACAGCGTGGAGCTTGCGGTGCAGGCGCGGGCTCGCAGACAGGGTTTCCGAGGGGAGGAGCGCGGAGGGAAGGCAGGCGATGACAAGAGGGGGTCGCAAAGGAAAGGCGTCCGCCACCGGCGCGGAGAACGGCGGTGCTGCCGGGCTGGCGGGCGGCCCGACGAGAAGCAGGCGCCCGCTGTGGAAGGCCCGCCTGTGCCGCGGCCCCTGGGAAGGTGGCCGGGGGGCCCCGTGCAGGCGCTACCCTTGCGCCCCCCGCCCCGCGCCTGGACTCTCTGAGAAACACGGCCCTGGCTCTGCCGTTGCGCACGGCGCCTGGGGTCTGTCGGGGAGCTCGTCCCAGGCGGGGTCCCTGTGCCTGCGCCGAGCTGAGGCACCCAGTCGGGCCACCCGGAGCGTGGCTTCCACGTACGAGCCCTGTGCGCCCGGCTCCCGCATGTTCACGGAGCGGGGCCGTGCCCTGTGTGTTGAGGAACACACACTTGGTGAGGTTGTGGTGACGTTTGCTGAGATGGAGAGCGGGGAGCAGCGTGTGGGATACAGGGAGGAGCAGGCGAGAGGGGGACACCGGGGCCCGGGCTGCCGTGCGCAGAGCGCGGGTGGCGGCTGGGAGCTGCCTCCGTTTCCCAGGCGGCCTCTCCGGATGCTCCAGAGCAGGGGCTTCTCCGGGCCACTGCTCCGCCTCTCCCAGGACTTCCTGCGATGGCGCCTGCCCACGCCGGCCCCCCACGCACACGCCCCCCAGCTCGGCCCCCAGACACCCAGTCTCCCCCTTCTGCTGGGTCGCACTGCTCTGCGGTGACCCCCGCGCCCTCGGCTGGCGACGCCCACGCTCTCGCCCCTCTGTGCTGAGGCGTCGGCTTCGGTCGCTGGGACGCTGAGCGTTGCTCCGTTGCCGACGCCTCAGGCCCCGGCTTGCGTCTCCAGGGGCCGTGGAGGCCGCGCCCGTGCTGTCTGAGGGGTCCGGGGCCTCGCGTCTCTTCTTGTGGTGGCTGCTGGGGCCTGGCGGGCTCCTTGGGGGCAGAGCTTCTCTGAGCGCTGGCAGGAGGAGGAGGCAGAGCCACACTGCTGGCCTTCATGTTGGGGAGCAAGCTTCCCGCTAGACTTGCGTCTCCTGCCCAGGGGAACCCAGCTCGGGGGGAGAGAGACCCCGCAGAGCCCAGGGTAGGGGTGGCAGACCCCGCCCCTGCCGCTGCCCGGCGAGCGCAGTCCACGTGGGGAGGATGGAGTACGGGCGCCAGGCAGGAGCCGAGGGGCTGCCGGGGGCCCGGGGCGGCCGGGGGCCGGCGGGTGGGCGAGCTGCGCCGCGGGTGCTGAGAGCACGTCTTCACCGCATTGCTTCCGGGGTCACGGGCTGCAGTGGGGAGGGCCCCGAGGGGCCGGCTCTGTCCCTCCACGCCCATGTGTGACTGACGTCTCCTCTGATTCTCTTCTCCATCTTGTATTTTATAGCCACCGCCTGAACCTTCTCGTCGATTTTTTGTCGACCAGTGGGAGCTTTCTCTTAGTCTCCGCTCCTCCAGCCGCCCTGCCTCTCCCTCCTCTGACTCCCTCCGACAGGTAGCAGGCCTGGAGCCGGGCAGAGCCGTGTGTGCCCGCAGTTCTTGCGCACGTCCCTGCACGCGTCCGCCAGGCTAGGCAGACGGCAGAGCTCTTACCTCGGGCTGGTCTCCTGCAGGGGCGGCGCAGGACGGGCGGGGGGCTGTGTCTGCGCGCGTGTGCATCGGCCTGTTTCCCACGCGCTGTGTGTGAGCGCACGCCCGTGCTGGTGAGGCTGCCGCTTCCCCGCTTCAGGATCTGTGGACATAAACCCACTTTCGTTACATTTCAACAGTGTCGGTAACGGCAAACACTTCTCAGCTGCTAGCTTTTTAACTCCACGTGTCTTTACGTCAGCACACGTTAGAAAGAGCACGAACCACAGGTCAGCTGAATCTCTTCCGTGGTGTGAAGGGGAGTGCCGGGTGCCTGCTGAGCCGCGGTCACTGAGGCCTGGGGGCCTGCCTGCGCCAGCCCTCTAGGCGCGGGCCGAGGGCAGAGGGTTGCTGTCTTCTGTCGCGCGTCCTGTCCCCAGGCCTGTGCAGGCCGCGGACAGGGGGTGTGGCGGCAGGTGCTCGGGGAATGGCAGCAGGACAAGTCCAGCCACAGCTGCAGTGTGACTGTTCCTCAGAGCGGGAGGGAGGGGATCACCTGCTCTTTGTGCCCGAGACAAATAGAGCCTGTCGTGGGGGGGGGGGGGCATGTCAACACCGTCACATCCCTGCGACCTGGGTGTGACAAGGCCCTGCGCACACAGCCAGCCCTGAGCTGTCACTGCTGACCCCAGCCTGCCCTGACCGCGTGGTGTCCGGAGGCATGTGGAGCGGTGCGGCCCATCCCAGCCCCGCCCCCCCCGCCCCCCCCCCGCCGAGGCCAGGCCCCGCCCCCCGCGCAGGGATAGGAGCGTGGTTCCCAGCGCCCCCTCGTGCTCTCCCTGGGGCCCCGCTCTAAGGAAGGTTCAGCGGGAGGGCCGCTCGGTTTTCTCAGCCCCTGAACTGCAGCCGAGTCAGCCCCAGCCGAGCCTTAGAGCATCGCTGGCCCACTTGGGCAGGAAGTCAGTGTCCCCCCCGCCCCAGGGCTTCCCGTTTGTCCTGCCAGCCGGGGCATGCCTCGCTCGGCGAGTCCCTTGCATGTGACTGTGTGTGTGTCCGCTGAAGCCCTTTCTAACCGCAGTGACCGGCTTCCCCAGACGGCAGCTCCTGCGAGCTCCGTGTGACACAGCTCAGCAGTGCCCCACACCCAGGCGTCTTGGCCATCTGCACACGGAAGGGTCGCCTGGGTGTGGGGTCTCCCAAGGACGGCTCGCAGTTGGAATTGGGCAGTTTCCCCGTTAGGTCTGCAGCAGTGCTAGAGAGGGGACCGAGTTGGTTGGACTTTTATCTTTTATCTTTTTCAACCTATAAAAACTAGCTCCTCCAGAATAGGAACCTACTCTGACTTCCCAAGACCAACTGGAGCAGCTTGTCTGCCTGCTGGGGCGTGGACCCTGCAGCTGCACCCGCGGTGCCTGCCCTGTCCGTCCGGGAGCTTGGCCCTGGGGCCTGTGCAGAACACAGACACCCCCAGCCAGAGGGGCAACACGGGTCTTCCAGACAAAGCGCGGGGCCGCGGGGTGCGTGTGACGGGGGTTACGAGTGGAGCGTCAATCATGAGGGAGGAGGTCGTCTGTTACCCACGTGGAGACGCCGCCTTTCCACGAAGGGACGTTCTGACTGAGGAAACGACCCCCATGCCCTCCTGACCCCTGACCCGTGCTGTCAGCCGGGCACCGCTGTCCAGACCGCGTTCCCTGCCCCCCCCCCGGCCGAGCTCTCTGTGTGGTTCGCGTCTCCAGGATGGAGGCCCGTCTTCCTCTGCTGCGTCCGCCTCCGTCGCGTCCGTGGTCCCGCCCCCGTGCCCAGCGCGGGCCCCCCGACAGACACGACCCGCGGGCTCGGCCCCCCGCCCGCCCGCCGCGCCACATGGACACTGACACCTGCCGCTTCCCTGCGTGTGGGCACCGTGTGGGCATGGTTTGCTGCGCACCTTGTATTCACTGTGCACTTTTCAGAGAGTTTGTCCTTGCCTTCTTAACTCGTTTATTTTTCCTTCCCATTTCTTGTTCTGGTCGTTGTGTAAATCTCCAACCACTAGAAGTATATAAAGATGTACACGGGTGGAGTGAGCTCATTGGCTGAGCAGATAGCCAATCAGCTTGAAAGGAAAGAACAGCCCAAAACCCTTCTAGACAAGAAGGAACTGGTAAGCTCTGTGTTGAGCAGCCGTCTCTAGCTCTAACATGGCTGTGGCAAGCACGCCTGCCTCGTCCAGAGAACCGTGGCAACGCGTGGGGCCCCTCTGTGCTGAGGGACCCTTAATTTCGAGGCGCTCTGCGTTCTGTGACTGAGTTCCCAGGACTGTGATCATTGTCCAGCTCGAACGTGGGTGGGGAAGCCGCTTGCTTTCTCTGAGAGTGACCACCGTAGAGGCCGGGGACCCGCGTCCACACGGAGCCACGTGAGAGCACTTCATGTGTGCTTTTATGTGACCCTCAGAAACAGTTCTGTCACAACAGTTTGGTTTGATTTTTACAAACTCTGTAAAATGGACTCGGGTTCCCTCTCGGCCGCTGAGTCACGGGGACACAGCAGTGCCTGGTGCCGAGCGTGGGGGCACAGACAGCCGCCGTGGCGGGGCCCGGAGCCAGGGCGCGCCTCGGTCTGCCTCACAGCGGGCCCCCCAGGGACGCCGTGCCCCCGGGCGAGCCCGGATGCCGCCCTGACACGCCCGCCCACCCTCCGCAGGGCTCCGTGAAGAAGGAGTTCCCTCAGAACTTGGGCGGCAGCGACACGTGCTACTTCTGCCAGAAGCGGGTCTACGTGATGGAGCGGCTGAGCGCCGAGGGCAAGTTCTTCCATCGGAGCTGCTTCAAGTGCGAGTACTGCGCCACCACGCTGCGCCTGTCGGCCTATGCCTACGACATCGAGGACGGTGAGTACGCGCTCCTGCCTGTTGCTCCTGACCTCGCCGCCTGTCCCCCTCCCGTCTCGGTCCTCCTCTGAGACGCCGATAAACGGTGCCCCAGCGTCCGGGGGCCGCGTGCTCGCATCGCTCAGGGACGGTGCTGGCGAAAGCGGCTGCCTGGGCTGTCGTCGCGTCCCATCCCTCAGACACTGCGTACGGGGGACGTGAGGTCAGTGAGCCTCGTTTTTCGAGAAGCGGACTCTCACTTCTTGTCTAAGGTCAGTGACGGCACGTTGACCCCAGACGCCCTGCCCTGGGCTCTCAGACGTGGGCCCCCTGAGGACAACGGGGCTGGGCCTGGTGCGCCCACTCTGCGGCCTCAGCATCTCGGGTAAACGGAGTCCACGGGGAACCCATGCTCCGCAGAGGGACACGCGCACTTAGCAGACGATCGCACGGGCACCCAGACCGTCCTTGTCAGCCTGTCAGGAGAGGCCATTACGGGGCCGGGAGGGAGCGCGCCGTCTGGACCCTGGGCCTCCTGCCCGTCGGTGGGAAACACCGCCCGGCGCGGGTAGGACCCAGGACGGCATTGCGACGAGGAGGGTGCTGTGTGGGTCGGACTCGGTGTCCCTCGTCCGCGCGCCCGCCCTTCGGGCAGCGGCTTCGCTCTCCAAGGACTGGGGCTGGCGGGAGGAGCCCGCCCCCCGTCTCCCTAACCGTCCTCGATGCCTGGGTAATTTCAGCCCCTTATCGTGCAATCTGGCTGGAAAGAGGGGTCCCTGAGGTCCGGCCATGGATGGTGGGCTCATTGCTGCTGTATGCTCTCAGGGGCACAAGTAAAGAGTGAACAAGGCCTCCGGGAGCTGACCGTCTGGTTGCAGACAAGGGCCCGCGGAGCCGCAGCCGGCCATGTCGGCGTTCACGATGCGGGCCGAGCTGTGGCGTGGAGGGTATAACGTCACAGAAGCTGAGGGAAGGAGCACTCGGGAGCTCAGGAGCCGTTAGGAATGACCGATCCAACCTCAGGCGTGACGCAGAGGGAAGAGCCGACACACCGGCAGGGGTCGGGGCGACCGTGGTGTGGGGACAGGCCTGGCCAGCCGGGTGAGTGCCCTGCTCTTGACCGGGAGCAGGGAGCACAGTGGCTGTGCGTCAGCTCCGTCCGCCTTTCCACGCAGGCCCGGGAGCTGGAGGAAGGAGTGGAATTTTAGGAGCCTGCTCTCCTACCAGATCACTGTGTGATGCAGACCTTGAGCTGCAGAGCCTCCGCTAAGGCGTGGCTCCGGACAGAGGGCCAGTTCTGTTACTCTGATGTCCCAAGTCGGGAAACAGCTCCGAGAGGTTAAAAGCTGCTTGTCCGCGTTCGCACTCTCTGAGGTCCCTGTCAGTTCAGATGCTCTGGGATCAGCAACTCTCGGCCAACGTCAATCCCCAAGTGGTCAAATGAGAATCGGACGCTTCAGAAAAATACCCCTGTTTTCCCCTTGTCCCTGGTTACGCTTCCTCTTCACTTTCTCAAAGGATGCAGGCTGCCCTGAAAGTAAGCCGCTCTCTCCCTTGCCAAGAACTAGCTTTGACTGCTGCCAACTCTGAAGACAAGGGCTCCAGGTCAGACAACCGTTGTCAACTTTCCCTGTCATCCCGTGAGAAGCACGTGGCTGCAGAGACGGCCTGTGCAGGCCCGTCCTCTCTGCAAGCCCCACCCCAGCCGCCACCGCGGCTCCTCCCAGCCCCCTCGCTGCCCCCGACCAGCTGCTTCTACGCCTCCGCAGGCAGCCGGGGGTGGAGGTCAGACCCGCAGCACAGATGTGTCCGCTGCCCCCGCTCCCTGTGCCCGGCCATTGGCCTCCTGTCCATTCTGGAGACACGGGCACCTCGCTGCCGGGGAGGACTTGGCCCTCGCTGTCTCCTCCCCTGGAGCGCACCCCCCGCCTTCTCAGGGGCGTCTGCACCCCTGGCCTGGAGGGCGGTCCAGTGGCCGAGCGCACGGCTGTTGCCCGTGCCGTCTGTGTTTCCAGTTCCCGTTCCCACCCAGGCCCGAATTTGATCACCAGGATCCCTCCGTTTGCTTAGACCACGTAAAATCAGCGACTCAATGAGTCAGCCGTGATCTGTGGTTCGTTTGTCACGCTGGCGTGGCGGGCAGCGTGGAGCCGTGGCTGAGAGCAGAGCCTCCAGCCTGGAGCCAGGCGTCTGAGCCCGTCCGAGAGGGGCCGGGGGTGCCGCCAGGCGGCTGCTCTTGTGAGGGGGGACGGACGAGAGGGTCGACCGCGCTGGACTTGGAGGGTGAAATGAGTTGATGTACAGCTGGCGTGTGGTACATGTCAGATAAAATGAGCTCTTTTTGTAAATAACCTGAGAAGCAAAAAGCGCCACCAGGTTGAGTTTGGGAAGACGTGTGAGGAGGAGACTTGTCGCCCTGGGACGCGTGGCGTCTTGCTTCCTTACCTCCGTCGGGGGGTGCAGGGGAGGCGGGTCTTGGGGTTCTGCGGAGGAGCAGAGGCTGCACAGCTGTTGAAAGGTGGGGACTGTGTTTCAGCTGCGGCCTGACCTCAGGTGCCTAGAAACAACAAGGTTCTGGAGTGTTTTTGAAAATGCCCTTTGGTTAGCTCGTGGAACTTCTTTTTAAAACCTAAACCTTTTGTCTTTACTAATTTAGGATATTGTAGTTAATTCAGTGAGAATATCTACTCAGTTGTATTTGAAAACCCAGGATTCTGCTTTAGTAGGAAAAAGCAAATTAATGCAGGGGGGGAAATGGAAGACAGGAATCAAAGTAACTATAACTGATTACGATTTTCTGATACTGGAACAAGCAAGAGTCTTGGTTACAAGTAATAGGAACCCCAGTCTGAGTGGAGTTGAGCCTTGGGTTCGCGTCTTCTTCCAGGAGCGGCCTCAGAGAAGGACCCCCCACAGCCACCTGTAAGAACCCCAGAAGGCTCTCGGTAGCCCGGCTCAGCCACATGCCAGCTCCTGGAGACCACGCCCTGGGTGGGCTGTAGGGAAGGCGGGTTGGCCGGACTCGTCTGGGTCACGGGTCCACTTCTGTGGTGGGCAAGGCCAGACCACGCAGTCTGGAGCCACATTGGAATCACGTCGACAAAACACGCAAAAAAGCGTATGTTATAAATACTCATACGTTTTGTCTTTCCCTAATTACATTTTATCTGAGTCAAAGTTAAAGGTGAAGTGAGTGTTCGATTACAGATGGTAAAAGGAGATTGTGTCCCAGAGGAAACGAACAACCCGAGGCCACATGCCCCACAGGGACGTTCCAGGTCTGTGAGCAACGCCCTGGCGTTTCCTCTGGGCTGCATCGGAGCTGGAGGTTGCTGTAGGGGTGTGGACACGTTACTAAGGCCGGTTCTGCCCACCCAGGAACCTGGGGTGTCCTGCCAGGTGTCGTCTTGAGTTCCCTGTATCAGCGTCTTGCTGTCTTCAGTGGGCAGGTCTCTCACGCCGCCCCGGTTAGATTCATGCCTAAGTGTTGCATTGGTTTTGATGCTGCTGTGAATGGGATCGTTCTGTGTCTTTCCCACGTGTTTTGTTGACAGCCTGGGGAAATGCAGCCGCTTGTTTCTGTATGTCGACGGAGCATCCCGACACTTCACTGAATTTGCTTACTAGCTCTAGAAGGTTTCCAGTGGAGCCTTGAAGATTTTCCCCATGTCATCTGCAGACAGAGACACTGTCACGTCTGCCCTCCCTGTGCGGGTGCTTTGCATTTCTTCTCCCTGTCGGGAGCTCTGGCTGGGACTCCGTCCTGGGTCGAATCGGAGTGGCAAGAGCAGGCGTCTCTGTCTCGTTCCTGACCTTAGAGGCCAGGCTTCCAAACCCTCCCCGCTGACTGATGTCTGTGCTCTGTCAGGTGATTTTCTGAGTCTTTAGAGATGATTGTGTGAGTCTTAACTTTTCTCTCCGTCACGTGAAGGTGGTGGTTCGCATTTGTGGACTTGTGTGTGTGACGTCACCCGGCATCCCCGGCGGACCCAGTTGAGGATGCGGCGTCACCCTGTGCCTGGGCGGGGGTTCCGTTGGCTCCTGTTTTGCTGAGCAGCCTTGCGTCTGTGCCCAGCAGGGACGTTGGTCTGTCGTCATCTTCCTCTGCAGTGTCCTCTGGCTTTGGTTTCAGGGCGGTGCTGGCTTTGTAGCATGAGTTTGGCTGCCGCCCGTTCAGGTGGTCGGGAGACTTTGAGAAGGGCCGTTGCTCTCAGTCCTTCTGTCAGCGCTCGCTGAGATCGCCCCCGGCGCTGGGCCTTTCTGCCTGGGGAGGGGTTCGATGACCGAGCCGGCCTCCTTACCTGGCAGCGGCCTGTTGGGAGCTTCGGCTTCTTCAGGACGCAGGTTAGCGGCAGGCGGTGAGTTTCTAGGAATTGCCCTCTCTCCTGGGCCGCCCAGCCTGCTGGCCTGTCTGTTCACAGGAGCTTCTCACTGCCCTTTGAGCTTCTGTGGTGTCAGTTGGAATGTATCCTTTTTCATTCCTGATTGTATTGTCTCCTCTTTGTATTTCTGAATTAATCTAGTAAAGGTTTATCTATTTTGTTTCTATTGTCTCTATTTTTAAAAGCAGCTGGTAGTGTTACTGATCCTTCCTATTGTTTTTTTGGTTAGGTTTTCTTCCTTTAACTTTGGGAACAGCCCGCTTGGCCTGGGCTCGCTGTCTCCGGAGCGGGCGTGGCTGGGTCCGCCCGCCCCCCGCGATGGTAGCTGGATGTCCCCCACGTTGGCGTCTCCGTGGCGGCAGCGTCTGCCGTGTGGTTTTCAAGGGCTGGTGTCAGTGGGAGTAAGGAAGCGTCAGGGGAAAGTGACCCTTTGTGATTAAATCCCACCCCCAGTGTCATGGGAAAAGCCGCAGTTGGTGTTTCCCGAACTGCTGACCGTGGGAAACGCGTGCTGCGTTGGGCCCCGGGAACCCAGGTGGACCCAGCCAGACGCCGTGAGAAGTCGCTGTCGGCCTCAACCCTCGTCCCACGCGGTGCGCTCCGCCCTGTGCGCCTGGCCTTCTTGGTGTCCTGCTCCGCCCTGCGTTCAGTCCCTGCATTTAGTCCGCGGGGGCAGGGGGGGGCGCGGAGGGGGGGGCTTCGCCGGCACTGTCTGTGGATGCGTTGGGATCGCGCAGCGCAGCCAGAGCCGTGCGGCCGAGGGTCCCAGCAGGGTTAACTGGTGTCCGTGCCGCCCCCTGCGGCCTCCACGCCTCCGCCCCACGCCCGGGTTCATTCTCGGTTCCCCGGAAAGGCTGCGCCTCCTCTCATGTGACCCGTCTTTGTTCCGCGCACACTGCCGCTTTGTGTGCGGCCTCCGCCCGTGCCAGCCTCGCCGACCGGGGAATGGCCCAGGGGCTTCACGTACGGGAAGAGAGCCCCTCCCCTTTAGGCGGATCAAAGTTTCAGGGGGCTCTGGCCTCCCAAACAAGACGAAGGAGGCGCCTGGCCCGGGAGGGGGAGGGATCGGGGTCGAGGTCAGAGTCCCAGAGCAGTGCTCATGCCCCTTTCCCCGCCTCTTGCCGCCCGCAGGTAAATTCTACTGCAAACCTCACTACTGCTACCGTCTCTCCGGCTCCGCACAGAGGAAGAGGCCGGCGGCGACACCCCTGTCGGGGAAGGTAAGGTCCTCGCTCTCAGGGCAGCAGCAGGCACTCTGTGCCCGGCGCCCGGCGCCCGGCCTGGGGAGGCTGCGCTGGCGGGCGGCCCCACCCCGTTCGGGGAGGGGGCACTTCACAGGGGCCACGGTCTCTCCGCCCCCTGAGCTGGAGGTGGGAGCCGGTGTCAAACCCTCCCTCTGTCCGCCCTTGTGCACAGGTGTCCTCTGAGAGGAGGACCTGGCAGGAGCCTCCCTGCCACCCGCCCAGTCACCTCCTGTCTGGGAGTTACCCCGCGGAGCCTTCTCTGTCTCTGCCGCTCACTCTCCTGTCAGGGAGCGTCAGCGGCTCTGCCTGACTCGCTGCTGCCTGTGGAGCCTGGTCAGGGCCTGCAGAGGAGCTCGCAGGCAGCGGCCTGGTGGGTGGAGCCGGCTACCGGCTCCTCGGGTGTGCACAGGGCACTTGCACAAGGGACGGTCCTGGTTTTGAAGGAAAGACCTGCTGGATGAGGAGCGCGGCCCGGGGCCCTGGGCTCCCCGTCTCCCGGGCTCTGCGGCTTCAGCCCCTGATGCCTCTCTCTGCGGACTCTCCTAGGAGGCCCGAGCACCCCTGCAGGAGGGCCCCACAGTGGACGCAAGTGGACAGGCCAGCACGGCCGGCGGCCCCGCGGAGAGAACTCCAGGTAGCCTCACTTCCTTGTTTGGCTGGGTGGCGCGTCACTCGCTGGGCCTGTGTGACAAGGCCAGGGGGATGCGCCAGCACCTCCAAAGCAACATTTCCTCGATTGGGCACCAGGTGGCCCAGAACCCCCTGGACTCCTTTTTCATGTGCCAGCTGCTCGCGTTCGGAGCGCCCTTTCTCTACGGCCTGTCGGAGGTGCTGGCGCAGATCCGCGGGGAGTTGCGCGGGCAGGCTGGGGCCGGCCGGGGCGCCGTCTGGTGAGTGCGACCCCCGGTCCTGCTCCGCGCCGCCGGGGGGCCTGCCCCTCCGTCAGACGTGCGGAGGTGGCTGCTGGGCTCCACCCAGGCCTCCAGGACCTCGGGACCGGCCGCCCTGCCGCTGGCCCCAGCGCACTCAGAGCTGCGTGGCCCCTTGCAGTTCTGGTTTGGGACTCTTGGCACAACATGGAGTTGGATAAGCCGCGACCTGCATTGGCGTGCACCTGAACGTGGAGTTCTCGCATCCCATTTCCTGTTCAGGTGTCTAGGTGGGCTGACACTTGTCTGCTCATTGACCTGTAACCACCGAAGGCCGTGCCCTGTCCTGACCGCTTGGGGCACGGGACCTTCTCAGGAGGACCGAACCCTCCCTGACTGTCCTTTCACTGCCGCGTCCTGTGTTAGGAGGGGGCGGCACCATCCCTCTGAGTGACAGCGGTCACTCTGCTCGCGGCAGGACTTAGGGGTTCCTGGGCACCACACTTGTTGTGAAGAAGTGAGTTTTTCCCTTGAAACTGCCTCTCTGCTCCGTGTCCAGCCAGCCTGTGCGACGTGCCCTCGGCTCAACTGCTCCGTAGAGGAGTCGAAGGGACCGAACTCCCCTTCCGGGGGTGGCGTGCAGAGCAGTCTCGAAAAGGAGCAGACCCAGTGGGGTCAGGCTGCTCCCACGTGGACCGCGCTCCTCCCGCCCCGTTGGGTTTGCGTTCTCACCGTCTGGTCGGAAAGCATCGTGGGTCTCGGGGGCCGTTGCGAAAGAGGACAGTCCTTAAAAGCAGGGAGAGGAACTGAGGGTTGGTTAGACAGTCATATCCTGGGCAGAGTGATCCCCCCAGCCTTGATTGGGGGGGTGCTGAGAGTTGGCCACATGGTTAAAGAAACAAAACAGCCAAAAAACAAAATAATCAAAGCGCTGAGTTAAAAGCAGCCCCCAGGCTTGTGGCTCTGATGGTGACCTGCCGGTTGCCACACAGGGGGCCCGAGCTGTGGCACCCCAGAAACCACGGCCTGGGCCCGGCCGAGGAGGCAGGCCCGGCCCCCGTGGAGGGGCCCTGCCGGGCGGAGGGCCCTGCGTGGGGCTGGCGACCGCACGGAGGGCCCGGCTCTGTGGGCAGCCTCGGGGGGAGGGGCGGGGGCCGGGGTCTTCCCCAGCTGTCACGGACAGGTTTGCTTTTCTCCTTGGAGAGGGGTGTTGTTTGCATCCCAGATCAAGCACTGACTGGTTAACTGGAATTTCCTTTTGGAAAAGCTTCAGGAAGCTCAGGGTTTCAGCCACCTCGCGTGTGTCGCAGACAGCGGGCTCGTCCCCAGGCCCGGGGCGCGCCTGCCCCGCTGCACTGGCGGGAGAGCCGAGCTGGTGGGCTTGGCCCCCCGGGCGCAGAGGCCTGCCCCCACCCCCATCCCCTTGGTGTCCTCGCGCCAGCGGGACTCGCCCGCAGGGCCTGGCGCCTCGGGTCCCCGCGCTGTGCGCGTCTCCTCCCCCGTGGGCTCCCTCCCCGACACCAGGCCCAGGGCTGACGGCAGAGCCGCCTCTGGGCCCGCTCTGCGGGGTCGTCCGCTGGGTCACCTCATCTGCAGCTGCTCTCTGATCCGGGTTTGGAGGACGTTGTTTACAGTGCTTTGCTTGTGTGCTTTTAATGCAGAAACTCAGTCTTCTGTCCTCAAAATGCATAAATGCTTTGTTCCCCAGCGCCTCGCGCTCGCTGCTGCAGGCGGGGCCCTGGCACGGGGCTGCCTTCCTGATCTCTGGTGCCTGGGCGCCAGCAGGCGGGGCAGGGAAGCCCCCGGGTAGGCCTCTTCTCCCTGCTCCTGGCACGTGGCCCCGAGCCACAGGCCCCGGGGCCTGCCCTTGCCCCGAGGCGTCCCCATCACACCCCGGGGAGCAGATGACCAAAACCGGCGACAGCCCAGATGGGGCCCTTTACCCCGTTGCTGTCTGAGGGAGAAGGCGGCCTCGGCCTCTAAAAGGGCCTGGCAGGGCCTGCTCCCTTCCCCCGGCCCCTGCGCGAGGTGGAATGGGCATCGGAAACGCGGGCGTTTCTTCGCACTCGGCTGAGAAGGCTGGAAAACGTGCAGCCCCTCCCTACCTCCCCACGAGCCCCTGAGGGGGCGTGTCTGCAAAGCCTATTCTTAAAGCAAAGAGACTCTGCCACCCAGCTTGGCCCCCAGCCTGCCCCGGGAGTCCTAGTTAATAGTGGTGTGTGGGTATTTATTTATACATGCATATCTATTTATAGAGGACTAGTTTCATATGTAGGTGTAGATATCTCTATATTGTGGCCTAAGTAGTAGTAGTAATAATAATAATAATAATAATAGTAACAACAAAGCTGCTTCTGAAGGTCTCGTTCCGCTGTTCTGGAAACCGAGGGGGTGAACCAGGCAGCCAGCACGCCTGTGCAGGGGAGACTCGGGGAGGTCGGTAGCTCAGAAATGGCAGGACAGACTCCCAGCCTCCGGAACGGGGTTCAGGAGCAAACGGGGGAGGCCCGGGTTCTGCTGGCGAGACTCCACAGAGAACCAGACCCCGCCCCCGCCGTGTCCTCAGGGTTGGCCGTGGCCGCCGTGCCACTCGGCTGGACGTCGCCACTTCGTGTCCAATGTGTTCCTGAAAGGGGCCCCCTCCCCGCCCTTCAGCTCGAGGTAGAGGAGCGGGTCGGGGTGGGGGCAGCGGGCAGGCTCCCCGAGGGGGCACAGTGGCCGAGTGAGCGAGCGTGGGAGGGAGGGAGGGTGGGCGGCCGTGCCTGAAGCGCCCGTCTGTCTCTGCCTGCCCTTCCTGAAGCCTTTGTTTTGCCCTTGTTTTTAACCTGTGCTGTCTGAGTTTTTCGTGTGTTTCTTTGTGAGTTTTTTTTCATTTAATTGTGTAACTTCATGTTCTGCAATCTCTGTGAAAATAAGGTGGTGTGCTTTAAAGTTTTTTTTTAACAAGTGTTACCACTCTTAAGAGAATAAACTCCAAACAATCTTCAGGTTTCTGAGTTTTTCTTTTCCTTCCCTTTTTCTTGATTGGAGCGGGGAAAGGGGGTAAGGCAGGAGGGGGCAGGGAGAAGGCAGGACGGCCTTAAAACGGGGAACCTGTGTGTTGATACTGGAATACAGGTCCTTGTTAATGGCAGGGTCCCCGTTCAGGGGTGGAAGACATTGCACTTTGTGGCAGCCGTGGGTGGAAAAGGGCGAGAAAGCACCCCTGCATCCCGCGTCTGATGGGCCAGCGTGGGAGCCGCGGGCAGAACCGAGAGAGGGCGGCCATGCGCGCCACGCCTGCACCCGGCGGGCCCACTCCTCTGCTCCGCCGCTGGCGGCCCCCCGGCCGGGAGCAAGTCCCCCCGCCCTCAGCCTTGGGGCTCTTCGAGGTTCAGTGCCCCCCAGTCCCCAGCCTCGCTCCTGCTGCCCGCGACTCTCGCTGTGCTCCCTGGGGCGTCTCTCCCACGCCAGCTCTGCTGCGGCACAGACGCGGAGCTGGGGTGTCCGGTTCTGCGCGTCCGCTGCAGCCTCAAGGACAGCCTGTCCCTGCCACGGTGCTGCCCGTGTACCGCAGCGGACTCCCGTGCGGGCCCAGAGGCGCGGCCCAGCGCCGGTGCTGAGTGGGCCCGTGGGGAGCAGCGTGGGGGCTCTCGGGCCCCGTCTGCTCCCGCTGGGCTCCGGAAACCTAGTGTCTGTTGTCATGCAGGCCTCCTGGCCCAAGAGGAGCCGAGTGGCAGGGTCCTGGGCGCGCTTGGCAGAAAGAGCCTGTGTCACACCCTGAGAGCTCACAGCTCTGCCTGAGGGTGACGTTCGTTGCCCTTCAACCCTCAGAGCTCTGCTGGCTCACTCTTCCCAGTGGAGGGTTGGAGCGGCCTCCCCGGCCCCCGTATTCCCTCTGCCCCCTAAGTCTTCTGTCTGTTGCTCCTCGCTCTCCGAAGTCAGTGGGTTAGTGCCCGGGGGCAAAGGGCCTCCAGGAAGAGCGTGGGGGGCCGGCGCACAGCAGGTGACCGCGAGCCGACCGCGGACCAGCGGGGGGGGCCGGCGCACACGTGCCCCTTGGGCTCGAGTCCTGAGCCGCGCAGGGCGGCATCGCACCTGCGAGCACCTGGAGAGCGGCCCTTGGGCCCCAGCTCCCGTCAGAAGCTTCTGGAGTCCGGTCTCTCTGTTCGCTGCCGCTGCCTGGCGACTCCCCCTCACAGGGACCCTCTGGGGGAGCCCGAGGTGCAGGTGCGGTGCTGGGGCTGGCTGTGCACTCAGCCCTCGGCGCTGGCAGTTGGGCGCAGGCCCCACGCGTGCCCCGCAGGCGCCGGTGGGAGGGGACGCCCACGAGGGGCTGTGCTGGACCGAGCAGCCAGGCGGCCTGTCGGGAACAGCCCTCCCCAGACCCCGATCCCCGTGCAAACCTCCGCCGTCATCAGGCGCCAGCAGTTGATGCGCCGTCGCCGTTGCGAATCGCAGGAGGGTGTCCCCGCCTCGGTGGGGAGGGGGGGCCCTGGCGGCCGGTCCCCTTGTCACCGCCCAGTTTCCAGTGGTGCGCGTTGGGACTGCGGGGGGCGGGGAAGGCGGGGGCCAGGGGTCGGCCTGCACCGGGGAAGGGGCGGGGCCCCCGGCCCGTCTTCGCTTACTTCCTGGGGGTCAGCTCCTGCACAGCTTTGCCTCCTCGGTGGACAGTTTCTGAGTTCTCTGGGGCACCTCAGCGGGCCTCCGAGGAAGACCCCGGGCGGGAGGGGCAGTCGCTGCCCAGCGGGAGGAGGGAGGCCGCATCCCTAGAGCCCCGAAAACC